TCAGAATCTAGAAATATATCTTGCACTCAAGTATTCTTTAAACACATAGTAGATGAATGAATGAATGAATGAATGAACATTTAGGCCTCTATAATTCTGGAATAATTCTCATATGACAATATTCTATAAACTACAATTCTGTAAAACTATAGTTAATGTCTTCATGTAGCATAATTCATTTAACATGATTCAAGCACCAATTAAAACAGATTAAAAATTTTCATTTTACTATTCAGTACTGAAGACAATATATTCAGTTTTTTTCCACAAGAAATAAAATAGCTAGACAGCCATAAGATTATATCGTTAGATCCTAAGCAAATGTTTACTTTCTTTTAAGACTTTTTTTTTTTTTAACTATAAGTACCCACATCTATACCCATTATGCAGACATAATAAAAATTTACAGCCTAGGGCCGGGGCCTCACAAGCATAAGGACCCAAGTTCGATTCCTGGTACAAAAAAAAAAAAATTAGAGCTGAACATGGTGGTATACATCTGTAATCTAAGCACTTTAGATGCTGAGCAAGGAGGATGGCCATGAGTTCAAAGACAACCTGAACTACACAGAAAGATCCTGTCTCAATAAATAAATAAACATTTACAAAGAGGGATTTTATGCCAATTCTTGAAAAAAGAAAATAAATATTTACTATTTTATCCTAAAAATGTGGTCCTACACAATTTTATGTATCTCTAAATAGAGCCTACTCTAGTTCTCCAAAAGACTCTGGCCTCTTTGGTACTCAGTAAATATTTGATAAAAGCATATCGGCATTTTACAAAATTATTTACCTGACTGGTTAAATGATTAAAGATGAAATGCATATTCTTACTTTTGTTACTGTCTTTTAAAATTTTTTGACATAAAATATATATTCTTTATAAAAATTATAGCATGGAAATGCAATAAGCTTTCACATTCTACAAAACTAGAGGGAAAACAATGAAGAAAAATGTATGTACATGTATGTATGGAATTAATAAAGGCAAAAATAAAATTAGTGATTCTGAAATCAACAAAAAACAAAAAATTAACAAAATGCAAGTTAGTCTTTGAAAAGCTAAGTCCCCAGACAGCCCAACTAAGAAAACAAACAACAACAGAAAAAGATACACAACTTTAGAGTGAAAAAGGAATTTAAAAATATGGAGAGTAAAAGAACTAGTGGGGCTGGGCCAGAGATTTAGCTCAGCGGTTTGGTGGCCTGCCTTGCAAGCGCAAGGATCCGAGTTCAATCCCCGGTACCAAAGAACTAATGGAACACTAAATACAGCTTCATATCAATAAAATTTTAAATTAAAGAAACATTTGAAATGTTCAGTATTTTTTTCAAAATTAACTAAAGATAGAAAAAAAATCAGAACTATAAAAATATTAGGAATCCCAGCATTTGTTAAAAATCTACAACTGAATAAGCTATGAAGGTTAATTTTACAGGGTAATTGCAAACAGCATAGTAGGTCAGATAATTCCTATATGGTCATTATTTTATATAATTAAAAATATGAACACTCAAAATTTATTTTTCAAAAGTAATATATAACTCACATTTCATAGGAGAATAAACAAGAAATTATTGAAAATTCTTAAGAACGGTGTAAAATCTTGAATAAAATATTGGTAAAGCAGAACCTACAACCTACCAAATGTAAAGCTTATTACTACTGCCTCTATGACACGGGGCAAATTATTCACCTTTATCTGTCATGATTTTCTCATTTATAAAATGGTGATTACAATATTATGTGTATCAGGATGTTGTTACAAAGATTAAATAGAAGGCAAAGAGACCTTAGAACTGTGCTTGGCAGATGGCAAATGCTCAGCAAGTGTAAGCTATCATTATTATCATCCCCAAACAAAAAAGCAACGTATTCCATTGCATTATTTTAAAGGGGAAAATGAAATGTTTGTGAACATATACTTTTTAGCAGTGTTTAAAATAAAGAGGAATCTTCTAAACATAACAAAGTATTTTTATCAGAAGCCAATACTAAGTGTTAAAATACAAAAGAATTAAGATATATGTGTACCAATTCCCCATAATTAAAGAAATTAGGTACTGCAAATATGTACTAATAAAATGTTTTAAAATACTGTCAATCTCATTAATTTATTAAAGATGTTGGAAATTAGTATGATTTTCCAAATTTTGAGATTACACTAATGCAATAAATACAGCAAATATTGAAAGTGATAAAATTATGATTTACAGATGACAAACAGGTAGAAAGTCTAAGACAATGAGTTTTGGTAAGTAGCCTGGATTACAGATGTCAGTATCTTTTTTAAGAGTCACAACAAAATCTGGTAAGAAAAAAAGAAGCCTTCTTAACGTAATAAAAAGTGTATTATATTTAGGAACAAACTTAATGAGAAGGGTATAAAACTTTTAAGACAAACTATATAAAATTTCACTGAACATAAAATACAATGAACTTAAAATACAATCATTTACCTCAGTATCTTGTCTTAACCATACAAACTAGAAACTTAGAATCTCTTCTAGACTCATCCCTTACCTCGTTCCTCCTCACATTCAGTCGGTAAGGGCTGCTCATTTGACCTCATAAACTTTTTCAAAATTTTTCATCCCTTTTCAAACTCTATTTAATTCTCCTGGTTATCCTTCCTCTACTTCCAGTGTAATCCCTCTCAAAATCACAGCTCATCCACCTGGCAAAGTAACCAACCTAGTCACAATAGGTCAAACCAAGACCAGTTTAAAAACAGATCAGCACTCTACTCAAGCTCAAGACTAATGAAGCCTTCAGTGATGTGGCCTTAGTCTCTTCCCCCTTTAGGGGAACTATTTAAGTATGACTTTGTGCTTCTCAAATTGGGATATACAAGTATCACTGACTAAAGAAGCCAGAGCTTCTGACAGCCTGACAGCTACAAACAGTACAATTTATAATACATCAATTTTTGGTGAAAAATATTTATGAAAGACAGTGATATTAAAATTAATAAAGAAGGAATGTAAAATTTGACTGCTTCAAGCAAATTAAAATTAAAATGCAAGATTCCAAAGAAAGATGGCACTTACAGCTCAGTTTCAAGCTGGGTGCTCAAAATAAAGATAATGTTGCACTTATAATAGCTGAAAAGTTTTAACACTACCAAACATCACTTATCAATGACTGTCATTAAGAGACAATTATGTCAGAAAAGTTTTTTTTTTTTTTAGAATTGGGGATTGAACCCACAGCCTTCACACTGAGCTGCATTCTCCACCCCTTTTTATTTTGAAAAGGGTTTTATTAAGACACCCAGGCTAGGCTTAACTCGTGATACTCCTGACTCAGCTTCCTAGAGCACTGGAATCATATAGGCCTGGGCTACCACACCTCTTCTCTACCTATTTTATATTTCTCTCAGCCATGTGTCTGCCTTCCTATTTCTACCATACTGTCATATTCCCACTTTCCGGGTCTCCTTTAGAGGATGACTAATTTTTCTCAACTCCTGAAAGTATTTCTTCAAATATTACTCTTAATGAGACCTATCCTAATGTTACCATTTCCCTTCTTGATCACCAACATTACTTTAGAGTAACTTTTTCTCCAAATCGTTTTATTTACTTTTTTATAATTTAGTTTTCCCACTAGAGTGTGCTATGTCAACGATTTGTTTTATTCGTTGAATCGCTAGTGCCTAGAAAAATGCCAAGCACTCTCAATCAATTTACTGAATGAATATACTATTAGAAAGATACTACGCTTAGATCGCACTTTATGAGACTGAAGCACTGAGAACGTCCCAAGATTTATAAGCAATCTGGATCCACTCTCTATCATTGATGGTTCCCCTCATTTAGGTCAGCTTCAAGAGTACTGTTTATATTTCCCTCATTAACAGTTCCTTTGCTACCGAGGATACTAATGAATCTTTTTGCCTAACTGCAATGCTTAGTTCATTTTATCTTCCAGTTCATACAGCATCAATCGATAGACGAATACATTAGGTATCCCCCAAATTTTACATAAATGTTTCAACTGGCCAAATTATTTTCAGCTTTTAATTTTAAATATAAACCCAACCCTTTAAAAAGCAGTGATGCAAAAAAAAAATAATAAAATTCCTAGAACTGACAAAACATGATTTCTGAATGACTTACGTAAAGGGACTTACATTCTATTATTTACAATTTTCTAACTTGGTTTTTAAACCTTTATTCGTCATCAGCATACATTAAGCAAAAAGTTCCACATTCAGTTACCGACTCACTTCATTATATACACATGCATATGATCTTTGATCAAGAAACTCAACTGGTGCCATTTTCGTGCCAAAATTTATAAAACAACCAATCATGCCAGAAACAGACACCTTCGCTTACAAACGCTAATGAGAACGCCCTCCGGAGCAATACCTGGCCAGGAGTCGCCCTGGGGTATCCTTCTCCAGTAAGTCTGACACGCTACCAAAAGGGCAGGACTAACTTGCGGCAGAGTCCCAATTACCACAGATTTACGTGAAAAAAACACCCATTCCTGGGCACAAGGGGCGAGGGTAGGACAAAGAGGCGCCGCCCAGGTAGCCTCAAAATCTAAGACCCGAAGATTCTCCTCCCAGAGGTCCTCACCGTGTCTAGACTAGGGGGAAGCGCCCATTTCTCTCGAAAAGGATGACGCACAAAGGAAAACCCCAGGCCTCCGGCGTGAAGGCCAAGGAGAACAGAAAACAGAGCCCACTGATGAACGACGACCCCTTTGCGCCACCACCGCCCTTCCACAGGCTAAGAGGGAGTCGGGTTCCTCGCGAGATTCTCGTCTTCACCGATCTCAAACTGAAACCTCGCGGCCTTTAGCGTGAGAAAGAGGGGCGCTCCCAGCTCCCTTCACGGACCAACAGAGCACCTCGACCCCGGGCCCACCCCGCACGTCATCCTGAGCGATCCCCTCCGGCCTCTAGCAACTTCCGGAGCCCAACCGGAACCGGAACTTGTAGGAGCTGTGGAAGGGGTGGGGCTGAAAGAAATCAAAAAAAAGCGCGGCGAAACTGGAAGTGCGAGCGGACCGGGTGTTGGTGGTCCCTAGGCAGGGCCTGCACCTGTCTTCATGGACTCCACTTCCTGCTTGAAGTCTTTGCTCTTGACCATCAGTCAGTACAAAGCCGTTAAGTCAGAGGCGAACGCCACTCAGCTGTTGCGGTACTTGGAGGTGAGGGGTTTCGGAATTCGGGACAGATTGGGCCTTTCCCCTCAGGAATCAGTTCACGACGTGGCGGAGGATTGGCGCCCCAGCCGGGGGAAGAAAGGATGGCCCCTTGCCCCCTCTCTCAGCTGTTCCCTTGTGAAGGCAACTGTCCGGTGGCTGCCGGGACAGCAGTGAGCGCTTTCCCGAGTCTGGAAAAGGGAGAGTGGGAAAAGCGGAGAAAGTTGTGTGTTGTTTCGGATAGGTGGAGAAAACTCCGAGCCGCTGTTTTCTCTTTGATTCTTGTTTTGTTTTTGTTTTTCCCTCGAAACCAAGCCCTTCCATTATACAGTGATTGCCCGACCGAAATGGCGAGGAGTCATGCTTAAAAATCTTTGCACCTACTTAGGTAGTTTATAATTTCAACCTATTTACTGTTTTTATTTCAACTAGCGTTGAACAGGGAGATAGTAATTCAGCTTTCACTGGATTAAGAGCAACCCCTTGTTGGTAGTCCTTTTTCTTTACCAAAAATACATTGCTCACGTAGGTTTAATCCTAAAATATTGAATTACTTTTATTTTTTCTTTTAGTTCCTAGTGATTTTTTTTCTAGACTGTTCTGCTCTAAATATCCTGCTGTCATTTGTTATGTGCTTGTGAAATGCAAAATAACATTAGCCATGGGCTGGGGATTTAGCCCAGTGGTTCCGCTGGCCTGCCTCGAAAGCTAAATTCCTGAGTTCGATCTCCGGTACCAAAAAACAAACAAACAAAACCCAAAACTAAAGTAACATTAGCCTCGGTTTAATTTAAAAAGTTATATTAGGGCCGGGAATTTAGCTTAGTGGTTCCACCACCAGCCTTGCAAGCACAAGGAGCCGAGTTCGAACCCCGGTACCAAAAAAAAAAAAATTAATATAAGTAAATAAAAATAAAAAGTTAAATTCCTCGAAGCTTATTTTAATTATGTCACAGCTTTCCCTTTGTTACCATAAAATTGAACAGAATTTTTAAATTATTCCATTTGTTACATTAACTGTGATAAAATGCAAATATACGGAAGATTAGAAGAATATTTGTACGGTATTGTGACGATTGAACGGTTAGGAGCATTAGCCTTGAGGGAAAATAGAGTGTAACAAATGTGTCCTTGTTTTCTTAAGTTTATTGCTGTTTCTCACAACTTTAGGTTTTCCATTTTTGCTAAATATTGACTTCTTTTTTCATGCATTGCACCAACAAAGATCCTGCAAACCTACCCTTGAGCTGCTTCTTAAGTAGGATAGAACATTTGGCACTCTAGAAGCCAACAAATAAACAAGGCCTTCAGCTTTATTTAAGAATTAGGAATAAAGCATTTTAGAAATACTAATCTGAAACATAAACGCATTTCTTATGGTCTTTGTGAGTGCTGTTGGGTGAAGACTTCAAAGAAATTTGGGAAAAAGTCTCTGACCCTTGAATACTATATTTCTAAACCTTTCAAAGGGTTTCATAAAAGACTTTTACCATTAATGGTAAGATATGAAGAACACTGGCTTGAAGTTACTACTCCTAAAGACATTATTTTTGTAATTGAGAGTATATGCACAACATTTAAAATGCATTAATCTCAAGCAAAGAATTTGAAGGCTTTTTTGACATAGATGTATACTCAAGTGCATTTTTATAGAATCTTGATATAGAACATTTCCAGGCCCCAGAAGGTTTTTTCATTGTCCCTTCTCAGAAAGTTTGAGTAAGGAGACTTAACATATACTTTTTTGTCAGGCTTCTTCTACTCATATAACCTGTGAAATTCGTTCTAGTTGCACACATACCAGTACTTCATTCTCTATTATTTTATAGCATTCCATTGAATCAATTTATTACAGTTTATATATATAGTCTATTCTATTTTTTGGTTGTTACTAGTTCTGAATGGAATTATGAATGAAATTTACAAACATTTCATAATTTTTGGTGTGTGTATGCATTCATTTCTCTTACATACCTAGGAGGGGAATCATTAAGTCATAAGGTATACATATATTCAGCTTTAATTGAAACTGATGCATTTTCCAAAAGATTATAGTGTTTTACCAAAAAATTATGATATATGAAATTTACCATCACCAATTCCTGGTGGTTTTGTTCTTAATTTTGCCATTGTGTTGAGCAATACTTGTATTTTTGATGGTGAATGTCTTTGTGCAGACTTCATGAGCAACTTGTGAGATTCAGAAAAGTGTGTCATGTGAAAGGAGAAAATTCATTCCTCTGAAGTTCTGCTGTTATACTTTGTCCTTGTAGACTCGTGCAAAACTTGAGGATTGCATTTTTATTGACTGAGTTGTTTCTTTTTTTCTTTCTTTTTTTTTTTTTTTTTTTTTTTTTTTTTTTTTTTGCTGTACTGGGGATCAAACTC